ATACCAATACCACACTCCTAATTACTGTACTGTCTTGAAATCAGGTAGTGAGTACTCCAACTTTGTTCCTCTCTTTAGAAAATTGTTTTGTTTATGTCTTAGGGTTTTCTAGAGAAACAGAAACAGTGTGAGGGATGGAGAGAGGGAGAGAATGAGAGAGATTGATTGATTTACTTTAGGGGATTGGCTCACACAGTTGTGGGGGCTGGAAACTCCAAAATCTGTAGGTCCGGTGGCAGGCTGGAGACATCTGCAGGCTTGCATGTCAAGATCTGGAGGTCAGGCAATGGAAAGAGTGCAGAGTGGAGAGACAGAGACTGAGTTCTGTCGAAATATTTTATGTCTGGAGGCAGAACACACCCTAAGGAAACTCCCTTTTCAGCTGATTGATTTTACATTATATTGGATTACACTGTGGAAGGTCATCACATTACATTACATTTGAGACAGCAACTAGTTTAGTGTTTGGCCAAACCACTGGAACCATAGCCTAACCAAATTGACATGTAAAAGTAAACCATCACAGTTTATTCTAGGTTCTTTGAATTTTCTTACACATTTTAGAATTGGTTTGTCCATTTCTATTTAAACAAAACAAAACAAGAAAGCCTGCTGGATTTTGGTTAAGATTGCATTGAGTCTATAAATCAATTTTGAGAAAATTGACATCATAACAATAGTGAGTTGTCTAATCCACACACATGACATTTCTCTTAATTTATTTAGGTCTTTAATTTCTTCATCAGTGTTTTGTTGTTTTCATTGTACCAATCTTGCACATGTTTTGTTAGTATTTAAAAAAGTTTCAATTTCTTATTTTTCAAGTATACAAAAATATAACTGACCTTTTATATTGGCTTTGTGTCCTGTACCTTGCTAATTTCATTTGCCAGTTTTAGTAGCTTTTCTATAGAATCTTGAGGATTTTCTGTGTAGACAGTCATGTCACCTGCATTTTATTTTGTCCTTTTTAGTATATGCCTTACAACCTACTCCTCACTTATCGACTGTCTTGTTACCCAACATTTTGCATTTACGACAACAGTAAAAAATCTACTATCATACTATTTTGTGCATTAATGACGTATGTCTGGCAACAATGAATGCCGAGGTGTAAGAGTAACGCTGGCTGTGATATTTAAAGTTATGTGTCAACTTGGTTGGGCCATGATTTTCAGTGGTTTGGCAGTTATGTAAGGATATAATTTGGCAGCTATGTAATGATGTAATTTGGCAGTTATGTAATGATATTGTCATTTTCCATTTTATGATCTGATGTGGTCATCCTCCATTTTCACATAACACTAATTTTCAAATAACGACCTGGTCTTTGGAACCTAACCGTGTCGATAATGAGGAGTGGGGGTATTTTTTTTTCTTGACTTATTGCACTGACAAAGATCCACCCAGTTTTTTACTTGGTTTGTTTTGTGTTCTGGCTCCATCACTGCTGTTACCAAGGTCACCAACAACGTTTGTGTAGCTGAGTACAGTGAAGACTTTTCTGTCCTCATCTTAGGTGCAGTAAATAGCACTGACACTATTGACCATTGCATACTTCTTAAAATCATTTCCTTTCTTGGCTTCTCCTGGTTATGTTTCTACTCCTCTGGTTATTTTCTCACAGTATTTTTTGCTGCTTTATCTCCCTCTGCTAAATCTCTAAGTCAAAAGTTGCAAACTGCAGACATGAACATGACTCAAATGTGGTTTTGCAGAAAAAAAACACTTTGGCACAGTGTTTAAAAATTTTGAAAAGGAATACTTTAAAAGTGGTCATGCAGTGTATATAGTTGGGCACAGGTCCCCTTACTCCCTAATTCTAGGCCAGCTTAACCCGTTTCTGTTACCGTCCTGGCCCCTCCAGAGTTCTTGACCTCTGCTTATAATGTTGGAAGGTATTTCGTGCTCATCCAGATACAGGGTTTTAAATGGATCTATATACTGATGACTTCCAAATTTATATCCCAACTTTTAGTTCTTCAAAATTTGTTTGTACAGTTGATCTTCATTATTCACGAATTCTGTATTTGTGAATTTGTGTACTTGATAAAATTTATTTGTAACTCCAAAATCCATACTTACATTGTGCTTTTGCAGTCATTCACAGATATGTGGCGAGTGGCAAAAAATCTGAGTCGCCCAGTACGCGCTTTCCCAGCTGAGGTGGAAAAGGCAGTGCTCTGCCTTCTTGTTTCAGCTGTTATAAATGTAAACAAGTCTTTTTTTCTGTTTATTTAATGCCATGTTTTTTACATTTTTGTGCTTTTTATTGGTGATTTTGCTGTTTACAATAACCCCTAAGCTTAATGCTGAAGTGCTGTCTAGTGTTCCTAAGCACAAGAAGGCTGTATGTGCTTTCTGGAGAAAATATGTGTATTATACAAGTTTCATTCAGGCATGAGTTATGGTGCCATTAGCTGTGAGTTCAATGTTAATGAATCAACAATATATGTTAAGCAAGATGTCTTTAAACAGAAATACATATATGTAAAACAAGGTTATGTATTGCTTGGTTAACAAAAATATTGGGACCAGAGGCTTGCAAGAACCCAACTACGTATTTCCTTTAGGAACAATGGTTCAGTATTTTCTAATTCAGTGTTTGCAGCAACTTTATACAGCATAACTACCATGAATAATGAGAATTTATTTATTCAGCTGCTTATTTGTCATGCCTGTTCACATCTGTAGAAATACAGATTTGAGTGCTTTTTAAAAATATTTTTTATTGATTAAAGGTATAATACAAGGAATCTTTGTGTGATAGAAATATTGCAGCAAAACAATTCAGTAGAAGGACAATTTACAGAGTAAAGGAAAATATTTGGAAACCATGTGTCTAGTAAGGGTTTATTATCCAGAATATATAAAGAACTCATACAACTCAAAAACAAAAAGGCAAATAGCACAGTTTAAAAATTGCAAAGGACTTGAATAGACATTTCACCAACGAAGGTCTAGAAATGGCCAATAAGCACATGAAAAGATGCTTAGCATTATTAGTTATTAGGGAAATGCAGATTTAAACCATAATAGATTCCACTTAACACGCTAGAATCGTTATTAAAAAACAAACAACAAAAACAACCCAAAATAACAAGTGTTAGCGAAGAGGTAGAGAAGTTGGAACCCTTGTCTATTGCTTGTGGGAATGTAAAATAGTATAGCCATCATGGAAAACAGTTTGGTGGTTCCTCAAAAAGTTGTACATAGAATTACTATATGACCCAGCATTTCCACTCCTAGGTATATTCCCCAAAGATTGAAAGCTGGGAAGCAAACAGATACGTGTACACCAGTGTTCATTGCAGCACTATTCATGGTAGCCAAAATGTGGAAACAGCCTGAATGTGCATCAACAGATGAATAGATAAATGTAGTACAGCCGTACAGTGGAATATTTTTCAGCCGTAAAGAAAAACGACATCTGGTACATGCTATGATGTGGATGAACCTTGAAAACATTATGCTAAGTGAAAGAAATCAGTCACGAAAGGACAAGTATTATATGATCCACTTATATGAAATATCTAGAGTAGGCAAATGCAGAGACAGAAGTAGATTACTGGTTACCAGGCATGTGGGAGGAAGAGAGGAGGAATGGGGAGTTATTAGTTAGTGGATACTGGCTTTCTGTTTGGTAGACAAAAAATGTTGCTTAGGGTGATGAAAAAGTTTTGGAAATAGATAGCGTTGATGGTTGTACAACACTGTGAATGTTAATGTCAGTGGTTTAAATAGCAAATTTTTGTTATATATGTTTTGCCACAAGTTTAAAATACATATATGCAGAAAGAAAAGGGATGTTTAACAGAGAGGTTATTTATTTTATGATAGATTATAAGAACATGTTTGCATGGGGCAGGGATTGATTCAGTGGAGAAGGAGAAGTGGATGAAGAAAAGAGGGGGAATTGTATATACCAAGGAAATCGTTGAAAAAAAAATGGAGTGGGATGAGAAGGACTTTGATAAGTAGAGAGACTTAAGAGTCACAAGATGGAAATCTAGGTAGATAATGGGATTGTAGATTTGGTGGCAGAAAGATAATGGAGTTGCTGTCTTCTGCTATACACTTTTTGAAGTAGATAAAATTGTAAGTTGAAAATGGGAAGGTAGACTCTGGTAGTTTTGAGGAGAAAGGTATGAAGTAGTCATTTCAGAGAATCAACTCAGGAGGAAAATGTCATAGGATTTCCAGGCAATGCTGAGTGCCCTTGAGTTTTAATGTCATCAATTTAAAGCAAAACTAGTCAGTTGGGTGTGTGATTTCTCCACCAACATGCTGCTGCTTGAATTCAGGCAAGGAAAAGATTGAACCAGATCTGGGGTTTTGCCAGGCAAATAGGGTAGTGGGAGAAAAAGGCAAGAAAAATAAGGGTGTTTGTAAGGCAGTGATTATAATGATGACTGTAAACGTTCAGAGAGCTAGAGAAGGAAACACACAAAAGAAAACAATGATGAAAAGGGTAAACATGATAGAATTAGTTGTCTTCATAAGCTGAAGAACTATTGTAGTTGAGGCATTAAAGTAGTCTGTGGAGGTTAGAGGATGAGCAGGAGGACAAATGGATAAGTCTGTTATCAGTAGTGACAAATGGACTATAAGGCCTAGACTGAGAAGGAACCGTGGGTCAAAGGGCTGATAGTGAGAATTATATATTGTGAGAAACATGGAAAGAACAGGTTTACTTTTTCCACACTTGGATAAGAATGTGATCAAATAGGAAGCTATATGCTACATGGAGCCCTGGTGGCACAGTGGTTACGGATTTGGCTGCTAACCAAAAGTTTGGCAGTTTAAGTCCACCAGCCAATCCTTGGAAACCCTATAGGGCGGTTCTGCTTTGTCTTATAGGGTTGCTATGAGTCAGAATCGACTCGAAAGCAATGGTTTTTTTGGGTTTTATATGCTACTTGAGTGGACATTTTAATCTAAATATGTATGGTTACTCAGTTAATGACTTAGCATGTTTCTCTTCAAAATTATTGTTTTAGAAAACGGAATCTTGGCATTGTCTTCCTCAAGAAACGGACTTTTCCCAAACCTTGGATACATCCCAGACCAGGTTTAATGTGAGAGAGGAAGGGGCTGAAGTAACAGACTTCCCCTCTCTGGAGGAAGGTATATTGACCCAGTCAGAAAATCAAGTGAAGGAACACAACAGAGATTTCTTATGTTCTCCATTGCTAGGTAATGCCTCTTTATTTTTAACTAGTAGTATACCTCACATTTGTAAAACACTTTCAGGAGACTGCAGCTCCTGTAACTAAGCCCTTTTTGAGTTTGGGAGCTCCGTAGAGCCATACTCAAAGGTAATAACTTATTTCTGGTTTTCTACACTGGCCAGCTCATCTAGTTATGTTAAATGTGCAGGTGCCCCTCATTTTATCACATCCTGCTGCTCACAGAAGGCAGAAAGGTGACAATTTCCTCTCTAGTGAGCGTGCTTCCTTAGTGCTGAATTTGTGGAGTTCTTGGGGTAAATCATATGTTATCCTTTGACCACTTCTGTTAGCAGCTGAGACTCCATGATCCGTAAAAAATAAAAACCAAACATTTATGTTTACCTCCTTTGATTCTTAGAATTAATTAAGGCATATTCTATTATCTTCAACTTTCGGGCCCAAAAATTGAGATAGAGAGGGTAAGTAACTTCTCTGAGATAGATTATATTGCTTTCCTCTGTTTGATATAGAATTGATTTGCTGGCTCTTTACAGAAGATATTTTAAGTACCTTTCAAATTATTAAGTTAGGAGATAGAATTATAATAGGACTGTTTTGAATCATTGAAGAAATATAAGAATTCTTAGCCAGTATAGTAATTGGTTATTATTATATTAGTTATATATTGGTAATTAGTAATTTTTCATGCCTAAATCATAGTTTAGAAAAATGTTATTCTGTCCTTCTGTTTTCTTTTTTAAGAAGTGAAAAATGTAACAACCAGGTTTTTTCTATATAAAATTATGTGTATCTGTGTGTGTATATATTATATCAATTACTTTTTGTTTTAGGCTTCTTGATTAATGTGAGAAATTTATATATAAGACTGCCATTTTGATAACAGAAAATAGCCAGATTCATTGCTGGGTAATGAAAATTAAATGTAATTATGTGATTATCAGTTTTCAGATTAAACTTCTGTTTTGTAAAAGTTGCTCTAGAACTGTGCATAGCTATCCTTTATCTTGATTATTGTCTGAATTACTAAAACTTTTCTTTTGATTATAACATCTAGTTAATATGTTATTGAATAATTTTATATAGAAGAACATTTCCTTTTACAGATTTTAAGGAATCCTTTGTAAGTTAAATTCAGAATATCTTGAGGATAAAAACTTCTAGGCTATATCTTTTAAAAGGTAACAAGAACAAATGAACAAAACTGGAGTTCAGAAACAAATACCAAATAATTTCATTTCCAATGAAATACAAAGTTTTAACTTTAATTTCTGCCTTCTTAATATCCTGATATCCTTTGGTGTAGTGGGAGTGTTCTAAAGTAAGGGAGGTTCTGATTGGATAATTAGGATAAGCCTTTTTTAGGGGAGCAGGATTCTACCTTGAAGATTGTCTTGCCAGAGTTTCGTAGAGAATCTTGAATAGAACTTATCCAACATGGTTTTCTTCAAACATAAGCTAATGCTATCCAAATCAAAATATTATCCAATCTATGACGTGGATCATTAGAATCAATTTTAGTTCTCCATTTTAAGAAAAATGTTGACAAAAGTGGAGTAGTAACCTGTTGGAGGAGATGACTATGATAGTAAATGAAAAAGAGTGGGAATCCATCCATTGAGAAGACTTTGCTCTTATCGGATATTTGAAGGGCTGTCATGCTAAAGAGGAAATAATTGTTTTCCATTCATTTACTTAACAAATACCTAAGTGCCTCCTGTGTGTTTGATGCTGGGAATATATAGATGAAAGCTACCTCCCTCTTCTGGAAAGACAATCCAGTAAACACAAAATAATAGTACAATGGATGAGTATTATAATGGTCTAGAGCATGAGTTTGCAAACTACCAAATTTGACCTGAGGCCTGATTTTGTATTGTCCATGAGCTGAGAATGGTTTTTACATTTTTAAAGGATTATAAAAACAAATAACGACAATAAACCCAAAGAAATACAGCAGCAGAGATCATATGTGACCAACAAAGCCTAAAATTTCTAAATTACCTGGTTCTTTACAGAAAAAGCTTGCTTACCTCTGGTCTAGAGGTTAAAATTGGAATATAAGAATTATAGGGAGGCTGATTTCAGCTTGATATAAAAAGAACTTTCTAATAGAGTCATTTAGTAGTGGAAAAGACTAACAACAACAAAAACAGTAAGCATTATGCCATAGAAAATGTTCAAGCAAAATTCTATGAGAGATGTTGTAGAGGGGATTTCAGTATTGGTCATGAAATTGTACTATGTAGTTTCTAACATGTTTTCTAATATAGAGTTTTATGACTCCAGCTTGTCATTTATTGTAGATTAAGTAGATCAGATGGCCAGAGGAAATTCTATCATTAATGTTTTATCATGCATAAATATTGTTATTGTACTGTGTAGATTCTCACCAATGGCAAATGTCATTGATAATATCTGGTGCCAGAATGGTTAGATATATCAAAAAACAGGAATCCAAGCCATCAACAGCTGTCCAAATGTGAGAAAACAAGTAGCCAAAAGCTGCAAGAAAATGACATTGTCAATAAGATATACAACCTTCCACTCCCAAAACACACACACACACACACACACACACACACAAACACACAAACACACACACACACGTTTGAGAAATAACTTTTTAATTTCTGGCCTAAGCGATTAGTAAGCCGATTTTCTAATTTACCTGACATAACTCCCCCACCTCCACTCTGAAATATTTTTAAGTATTTAAGGAGATGCTGAGATGCTGCTTATTACCTACTATTCCTTAGTAATAGGAGTTATTTTAAGTAATCTGATTTCTGTAGTCTGTAGATCCTCGTTAGGGATAAGTTTTTTTGTTTTTTTTTAAAGGAAAAAAGTACTTTAAGTGCTCAGCTTATAGGTAATAGGAAACAGTAAGTCTGCTACACTTGTCCAAAGGGCAAGAAGCCCTAGTATATTTGGAGACTTTGTGAAAAAACTTTCATGATTCTTAGAGGAGTAAAGGACTTTTTTTTTTAAAGGTTTAATACTGATTATCTAAGCCAAGCCAAAGAGGAACTGTACCAGTTGGTCCTTGGTGGTAAAGGTTATTGATTTCTATTAGTGTCTCATTTTTTAATGAATTCATTCAGGAAAATAAATCTAATTTGAGTGATAAATGTGATAGATACTTTGGTAGGCACTGAGGGTGTAGCTGTAAATAAAGCAGACGTGGAGTTGGTGGTCTAAGTGGGAAGCAGACAGACAAAAGGTTAAAACGAGTGAGATGCATTATGATAGGGAAGGTGCAGAGTATGTGAGAGCATTAAGGGTGTGTCAGCGCACCAAGTGAAGGGCAGGTGACACCATGATGAGCCCTAGGAGAACCCTAGGTTTGCAATAATTTCATAGAGAAAAGGGGTGAGAGAATGGAGTCTTCACTTTGTATGTAGTATTATAGTCATTCTGAACGCAAGAAACTACTGCAGCAATAAATACTTGTATTGAAAAAACAATTTAATTTTAGCAAAACATCACCCATCAAGTTAAATTAATTTTAATTAGAATGTTGGTTTTATAATTTTGTTTCTATTAACATTTAATTTTTTTTGTTTTAGAGTTGTATCAGTGCTATAAGGAATAAGGAATTTATACCTAGTACATATTTAAGGACATTAAGAATTATTTAAGTCAACATTCAGGAATCTATAAGAATTTTTTTTTCCTTTAAAGCATCTTTCTCAAACCTTTGCACACAGGGCCCCTTTAAACACTAAAAATTACCGAGGACTCCAAAGAGCTGTTGTTTATGTGGGTTATGTCTTATTTTGATGTTTCCCATATTAGAAATTAAAACCAAGGAATTAAAAGATATTTATTAATTCATTTTAAAATGACAACAGGTCCATTACATATTAGGCTTAAGTAACATAGTTTTATAGAAAAAAATAACTTTTCCAAAACAAAAAAATTTAGTAAGAAGAATAGCATTGTTTTACTTTTTAATGTCTGTAATGTCTGACTTACTAGAAGATAAGTAGATTCTCATATCTGCTTCTGCATTCAATCTGTTGCTGTATCACACATCATGTAGCTCCTGGAAAATTTTCACTGTACCCTCGTGAGAGAATGAGAGTGACTAAGGCAAATGACATCTTAATATTGAGTATAATTTTGACTCTACGCACCCTCTCATAGTGTCTTAGAGATGCCCAGGGGTTCTGGGACCACACTTTGCTATAAGGGGTATGGTCTCTTTGCATTACTTAAGATGGAAATAAACACTCATATTGGTTAGGAGGTTCAAATCTTAACCCTGGCACTTAATAGCTATGTGAATGTGGACAAATTACTTAATGTTTCTTAACTTTTGTAATCCAGTTTCTTCATCTGTGAAGTAGGTATGATACCTATCCTTCAAGATTGTTATGAGCATTAAAGGAAATATTGTAGGTTAAGTGCCTAGACCTTGGTAGGTATTCAATAAATGATAGTTGCTGCTGCCGCTGCTGTTATATTATTCCAGTGCTTGTGGAAACTTCCAGAGGGCAGCATATTTAGATTCTTTAAAGTATTACATGAATAAGTTAAATAATTAATTTTCAGCATCACCCAGCATTTTTATATTTGACACTTTGCAGTCATACAAGACAGCTTTGCTTCTCCTGATTTGCCTTTGCTGACTTGCGTGACAGAAGATCAAGAGTTTGGACTTGATTCCCTATTTCACCAAAGTGAACTAGATTTTGCACCTCTGAGGTAGAATGATTTATTTTTTATTTGCGTATAACCCTTCTGCTCTTTCTTTTTTTGTTGTAAATTTTTACTAATATTAATGACTTCAGGCTAAGATGGTACATTGGGGTAGGGGTTAGATATTCTCAGCACATGCTCTGAAGGTAGTTAAGGCCCTAAGTTAAGACATGATGCATATTAATGTGCCACAGTAACATATGTGTAGAAATGACCTAGGTGACTGTAGTATATTTTAAAGTAATTCAAATTAATATCCTTTAGAATAGTTATAATGGGAGGCAAGTCTGAAATTCTTGAAACCATTTTTGAAATTATCTAAGAATATAAGTTTTCCTCTTTTAGAACTGGAAGAAACAAACGAACAAAAACAAAAAACCAACCAAAAAACCTTAAATGAAAAACTGTAGATGTTTAGAAAGTAAAGTTTAATCCCTACTCCTTCTGCTATGTATTACTTTGTAATCACTTCTGTGAAGTGCTCTGTACATATTAGATACTCAACCAATTAAAGTTACTTTTATATTTTGGGAGTAGATCACTTCTTGAATAGTTTTCAGTAATAAATAATAAATGATAAAAGAATTAATGCAGGTTAAATGAATGTTAAATCATGGTAGGTGATAAACTAAATATTTTACATAGTTTTGAATTTCTCATTTAAAGAATCTTTTTACTTAGTGATATGAAAATAAGATTCTATGTCTCTATTATTTAGGATAAATCTGAGAAAATATCTGGGTCATAGGGTGGTAATTCACCTTCTGGCTACAAAAATTTGTTTAGTCATTAGCCCCCGTAAGGAATTTGAACTAGAAGAACTTTGTTTTTCAACACACTTTTCAGATAACCTTGATTTCAGTGACATCATTTTTGTATTTTTTCATGTTCGTATTTAAAAATGAAATGTTTTTAATGTGTTATTTATTTACTTCTAACTGTATATTTTTAGGGCAGTTCCTGATAGGTCTGAAGACACTGAATGGTTTTCTCGACCATCTGAAGTTAGTGAAGCTTTGTTCCAGGCAACCTCAGAAGTAGCTTCAGACTTTGTTAACAGCTGCTTTAGTGTATCTCAGCACCCACTTATAGATAGTACAGTTGTAGAGTCTCAGCGCTCTCTTTTACCTCTTGAACAAGAGAATAATGAAGAGGCCATTTCGTCTAATACAGTTGATGAACTGAAAACCCCCAAAGACTGTGATGCTCTTTATTCATATATGTCATTGAAGACACAAGAAGTTGTACAGCAGCCAGAAACCAATTTAGCTGGTAAAGATCAGGTTTCTTTCTCAAGTTCATCTGATATCAGTGATGAAATCAGAACTACCAAAAGAAGTGATAGTTTTGATGCTTGTTCATATATGCAGTGTTGGAAACAGGAAGCTTTTCAGCAGTCAGAAACATGTAAGGACCATGATTCCTTTTCAGATTCATCTGACACAATTGACGAAAATGAAGTTCCCACGGGAAGTAACACTTTTGGTGTCCCTTGTTCACACATGCCATGGTGGAAACAGGGAACTTCACACCATCCCAAAGCGTGTCCAACCAGTACGGACCATGTTTCCTTTGCACATGAAGTTGCCTCTCGTTTTAATAATAAAATGTCGAATTCTGACTTACATTGTTTGTTGGAAAGAAGAGGAGAAGAGGTTTTCTTGACATCTGATAGCCATTATTTTGAGAGTGCTTATTTAAGAATTTCAGCTGAGAATGAGGTGAAACAAAAAATGGATTCTTTGGAGGGTTATGAAAGAAATGAAGAAGGGCTAGGGGAAGAATTATCTCAACATTTTGAACAAAAGGAGACTGGAAATGACTTAGTATCTTCAGGAGTACATCCCAGATCTTCAGAAATACAGCTTACTGGGAATGATGCAGTTCCTGATAATTCTGTAAAAGTTTCAGAAGCTTACATACTCTCCACAGGACATGTTACCTTTAAGATGGAGGTTTCTGGTGGTCCTCTTCAGACTGTTAAGTCCAACTTGGGTGAGACACCAGAACAACTATATTTTCAAGAGGATAGAAACCAAAAGGAAACTTCCACCTTGGGTGGGAAGAGTGTTGATGCTACTGAAAATGTAGCCTTTGAGGCAGTTATTGCCTCTATTGAGCCTTCAGAGAAGGAGAGTACAGTAAATGAAATCCAAACCGATATCAATAAATCTTTAACAAATGACAGCCAAGAAAGAGAACCAAAAAACCCAGATCTTCCCTTATCAAATTATAATGATGAAAAATCTTTACTTGATCAGCTTAGTTATCCACTCTATCAGTCTACTCCTGGGGTGTTTGAACCAGCACCTTCAAAACCACTGTTGCATAAAAAAGATGTTGATGATAGTTCCTTGTACTGGCATCCTAATTTAAAATCACACTCTAATGCTCAAGAAATGCTTAAGTCATCTGCTCTTTTAAGTGAAAAATCTGCTCACAGACAGACTGTTGGTTTTGACAAACTACAGCCGCCTTTAATTCAGGGTGACATCGGCAGTGAACCATTTCTTCTCATTGGGAAGATAAAGTCTGTTTCTGCTCTTGACCTTGCGGAGAAGACGGAATCTTTAAACATTCATCCAGTAAAAGTATCAACTTCAGATTCTTTGATTTTACAAGGATTAAAGCAGCAAACCTCTGATGAAGTTGCAGATTCATCAAACTATACTTTCGGTAAGGATGTAAACTCTAGTAACTTTATTGCCAGTCCATCTGCAGGTGTAGGAAGCAGCTATTCAGCAAACTTGGTGGCATGCGATGAAAAGTCACAAGGTGCTTTACCATTGGCCAGTGACGCACCACTAATTATACTTTGCCAAGAGACATTGCTGAAAGCTGATATAGGCTGAGGTGAAGTTCCTCAGCCTATGGAAGCCAAGTTCAGTTTTACTATATGTACAATTATGCAAAATGACTCATATTTTGTAGAGCGCCTGCAGGGGAAGACTGAGTCTGACATCATTTCTCTGGACGATGATGCTGAATGCCGTATCCTAGATGAACATGCAGTGGTGGGCAATGAAAGAGCTGCTGATCTACTAAGAGAGGTGAGACACTGAAAACGATAGTTGGAAGCAACACGGTCTTCTCCAGTACTATTTCAGGAAATGGTATTGTTTTTATTTTACTTTTTACTATTTCCCAGACATGTGACCAAGGTGACTTGACTGGTGAGTGCAGCTAGCAGCTTCAGAAAAATTGTTTGATAATCTAGAGATTTATAATAGCTTTCTGCACTGGCAGCCAACTTTACAAGTACCATCTAAGGAAGATAGCGATTTTGAAGAGCCTGTAAGTTTTTCTATTTGACTTCTTATGAGGTGGGGAGAAGAAAATTTTAGTTGAAAAATGAGAATGAACGTAAAAGGCCCATATATATCTTTTAGTACCAACTTTGGTGTGTTACATGATATCCAGGAATATGCTCCCTTAATAGAAGTTGGCATAAAAGAAATGTTTGTGTTTCATAGACCATTAGACTTAGTGAGTTTTATGGTATCTTGGAAAAGGCCATCCGTTGGAGCTCCCAGGCCTTTCATTTTGGAGCATCCTAACTCTTCCATGTTGTGCCAGCAGAAATCTTTGCAACAGTGTTAGGATTAGACTTATTCATGGGGACATTCAAATGATTGTGGTTTTTTTTCCCTTCTGGCCTTCAATGTACAAGCCTTGGAATAGGCTCTGGAATATTCAAATGTTTCAGTTCAAAAGCTTTTGAAAGATTTGACTTCAGAGGTATCTTGAAAATGACAAAAAACAGTGGTCTCCAGGAAGGACACAGAGGTGTTTAATGCCCAAATTAGCAAGTGTCTCTAAAGGGAACTAACTACCCCTTCCCAAATGAGCAACACACCCATGTATATACACATTCCCTTCCCCTCTCTATTTATATTATTACCATTGTGTATGTGTATGCTAGAAAATGGTGACTCTGGGTATTGTAAAAATTCTGTGTCAACCTTTCTTTTATACAAGGCTTAATTTGTCAGGATCTTTGGATCCCTTGGCTTTATGTTTCTCTGGTTCCATTTTCATCTTTTGTCTTATACTGTCAGCTCTGAGCTGGACCCTCCTTCCTTATAGTATATCCTTATATCTGATTGGCTATTAATTATAGTTAGATAATATGTGTGATGTGCTTAATAATATGCCAGGTATGTAGTAGATGCTCAATATTGTTACTTTCCTTTTTTATTTTCTCTTGTATAATATTGGTCATTGCAAAACTACTAGCTTAGGTTCCAACCATATTTAGACCTTTAGTTTCATACAGTCTGTAAGAGAAAATGAGCAAAAATATTGTGATCAACTTTATCTTTTACTTATAATTTACTGACTTTATAAAAAATTCATATAGAGAACCATTGTTGTTGTTAGGGCCGTAGAATTGACGCCAACTCACAGCAACCCTTATGTACAACAGAATGAAACACTGCCTGGTCCTGCGCCATCCTCACAATCATTGTTATGTTTGAGCCCATCATTGCAGCCACTGTCTCCATCTGTCTTGTTCAGGGTCTTTCTCTTTTTCACTGACCTTTTACTTTACCAAGCATGGTGTCCTTCTCCAGGGACTGGTCCCTCCTGATAACATGTCCAAAACTCATGAGACAAAGTCCTACCCTCCTCGCTTCTAATGAGCATTCTGGCTGTACTTCTTCCAAGACAAGTTTGTTTGTTCTTCTGGCAGTCCATGGTATCTTCAGTATTCTTTGCCAGTGCCATAATTCAAAGGCATCAATTCTTCTTTGGTTTTCTTTATTCATAGAGGACCATTAGATTAGCTTTATTTTTTTCAATATTCTAACGTAGACATTGTTTAATTCTAATTTTAAATCTAATAACACTGGAGATTAAAATGATAGCTAATGCTTACACTCTGCTGAAATGCTGTGCTAAGAAGTTTACGTATATACATCAATTCCTTTAATCCTTGGGCCAGTCCTGTCATGTAAGTACTATTGTCATCCCCATTTTACAGTTGGGATTTAGAGGGTTAAGGAACTTGCTCATGATTATTTAGCGAGTAGAGGAACCAGGATTTGAACGTAACCTTACTTGTGTACTTAACCACTACCACAAATCACCCTCTAATGGAGTCTCGGTGGCACAGTAGTTAAGAACTATGGTTGCTAACCACCAGAAAGTCAGCAGTTGGAATCCACTAGCAACTCCTTGGAAACCCTATAGGACAGTTCTACTCTGTCCTATAGGGTCGTCGTGAGTTGGAATCAACTTGACAACTTGACAGCAACAGGTTTGCTTTGGTTTTTATTTAGCTAATTTCATCAGTGAAAGCAAAGCTGCAACCAAGCACACCAAGAATTTGCATTATCATGACAAGAATGAAGGCTTAGAAGGAGATTGTTCAGTTTCCATAAGAATTAAGAAACAAAATATGATCAGTTTTAGAGTTTCTAATTATTTTTATAATACTACTCATGTGAGTTACATCAACTTTTCATGTAGATAAAATGTATTTAAGAAAATGAAGATATATATTCAGTTAATAACAATTCAGTGCAATTAACTTTGACCACTATTTCAAATTTTATCTGCCCTTAACTGTAACCTTAAGTTTCTTCTTTCAGTCTAGGGAGGATGCTGCCACTGTTGCCTGTGTTTTCCTTCACTCTTAGCTCTAGCCTATGATCTGGGAGTTACTTAATGCCACTATTGTTGTTAGGTGCTGTTGAGTCAATTTGTGACTCATAGCGACCCCATGTCACAGTAGAACTGCCCCATCGGGTTTCCTAGGCTGAAATCTTTACAGGAGCAGATGGCCAGGTCTTTCTCCTGTGGAGCCACTGGGTGGGTTTGAACCACCAACCTTTCAATTAGTAACTGAGCGCTTAATCACTGTGCCACCAGGGCTCCTTAATGCCAATAAAAAAGCCAGATATGGAAGGAATTTTTTTGCATGACTCAACTTACTCTCAGGGGGCTTGACTACTTGTATTTTTTCTTCCTTCCTCTCCTCGTCTGTGTCTCAGGAGAGTCATCCATATGTGTTTGCCTCACTTTGATATCTACCCATCATTCTTTAAATGATTATTTGGGCATCCACTTTTGGCTTAATGCAGTTTGCAGCTGTGGAAAGAACATGGAGATTTGGAATCAAAACCCAGTTCAGTTACCTGTTAGCCTGTGCCTTGGGCAAATGACTTTGGAGGACCACTTTCCTTATCTACATAAAGAAATGGGAATAGGAATAATCAACCTCATACATTAGTATATTAAATGGGGTAAGGTATCCTGTTGCTGTTGAGTCGATTCTGACTCATAGCAACCCTATGAGACAGAATAGAACTGCCCCATAGGGTTTCCAAGGCTGTAAATCTTTTATGGAAGCAGACTGCCACATCTGTATCCCACGGAGTAGCTGGTGGGTTTGAACAACTGACCCTTCAGTTAGCAGCTGAGCGCTTAACCACTGCGCCACCAGGGCTCCTTGAGGTAAGGTATATAGCACTTATACAATGCCTGGCTCTTAGTTACCTTCACCAGTTACTTTACGGAAACTAGACTCTCACCAGTGATCTAGTTTCTCTCTAATTTGTTTTTCCTTCTTTGTTCTTGGTAGCATATGAAGTTTGTTTGTTTGTTTAGTTCAAGTGCTTAGAAAAGTTTATTTCCTCTATTTTGTTTTTCCTTCTCTTTGTTCTTGGTAGGATATGAAATTTTGTTTGTTTAGTCAAGTGCTTAGAAAAGTTTATTTCATGCTTAGGATATTTTTCTGAAGCGTTAAAAAATTATCGCATCTAGACTTTTCAATGTTAGAGTTAAATATTCTAAAGGAGAGGCCTTTAAAGAAAACTGTTGGATGTTATATTATAAATCTAATAGCTTTACACAGCAGCAGAACCCAGAAGAAAGGAGACATTATAGAAATTGTTTATTACATAATGGACAGGTGATTTATTCTGAGTATTTATGATTTTTCTCCTTTTTGTGACTGCACCATGGACTTAATAAAAACTGCCTAAATCATTAGCATATCCTGCATTATCATCATGTGTAGAAAACTGTAATTAAAGTAAGGTAGTTTTTATTAGTTGCATAATCTAAAAATATGAGGAAAATTTTTACTATATCTCTAAAAAGACCACAGAATTGTCATTGAGGTATCCATTTCTTGAGACATTGGAAAAAATTCTCGTTTGTGGGCAGTCTGTTCTTTTTTTCACATAACGAAACAGAAAAATTATATCGCATAAGAAATGTTTTTCTCTAAAGTAAATTCATTGGTACATTTTCTTAAATACCTCAGTAATGCAGTACTTGGGAAATGTAAATTCTCAACTCAGACTTGAAATAAGTTATTAGACAAATACACAAATTGTATTGCTTGGCGTCAGATTTTTCAAGGATTAAAGAATTGTTTAAACCCTTGTGCTGTTCATAAATTATATTTCAAAATTTATACCTCGTACTACTTTTATTTTCTGAAAGTAGATTGCTCAATCTAATGACAACATAGAGTGAACTCTATAATGTACAAATAAGTCACAGTTCACTTCAAAAGAAATGATTAATATTTTTTTTTGTCAAAATCATAATATTAAGATATTTATAAAAACTAACTAGGATTTATCTGGCTGACAAAGGTCCTACAGAAAGTTGTCTTACGGCATTCCGTGGAAACTCTTTGTTCGTTCTTTACTTTCAGCTTCTTTGGAAATGTCTTCGCATCTTTTTCTGCCTCCACCTTTTTCAAAGGTTGAAAAGATTCTGGTAATTTTTTTGAAGGGTACAGTTGGGCCCTGTTCCATTTTTGTAAATTGTGCTTTAGGTGGAAGTTTACAACTCAAGTTAATTTCTCATACAAAAATTTATACATATATTGTTATGTGACCCTCGTTGCTGTCCCTATAATGTGACAACACATTCCCCCGTTCCACTCTGAGGTTCCCGTGTCCATTCAACCAACTCCTATCCCTTTCTGCCTTCTCATCCCACTCCGGACAGGAGCTGCCGTTTATTCTCTTATGTCTACTTGAACTAAGAAGCACACTCTTCACGAGTATTATTTTATGTTTTATAGTCCAGTCTAATGTTTGTCTAAAGAGTTGGCTTCAGGAATGGTTTTTAGTTCTGGGTTAACAGAGACTCTGGGGGCCATGTCTTCTGGGGTTCCTCTAGTCTCAATCCGACCATTAAGTCTGATCTTTTTACATGAATTTGAGTTCTGCACCACACTTTTCTCCTGCTCCGTCAGGGACTCTTTGTTGTGTTCCCAGTCAGGGCAGTCCTTAGTGGTAGCTAGGCACCATCTAGTTCTTCTGGTCTCAGGCTGATGGAGTCTCTGGTTTATGTGGTCCTTTCTGTCTCTTGGGCTAATATTTTCCTTGTGTCTTTGATATTCTTCTTTCCCCTTTGCTCCAGGTGGGTTGGGACTAATAGATGCATCTTAGATGGCTGCTTGCAAGCTTTTAAGACCCCAGACGCCACTCACTCACCAAAGTGTGATACAGAACATTTTCTTTATAAACTTTGTTATGCCAGTTGACCTAGATGTCCCCCGAAACCATGGTCCCCAGACTCCTGCCTCTGCTACTCTGTTTGGTTGTGTTAGGAAACTTACTAGCTTTTGGTTTAGTCCAGTTGTGCTGACTTCCCCTGCATTGTGTGTTGTCCTTCTCCTCACCTAAGGTAATTCTTGTCTGCTATCTAGTTAGTGAATTCCCCTCACCCTCCCTCCCCACCCTCGTAACTGTCAAAGAATGTTTGCTTCTATGTTTAAACCTTTTCTTGAGTTCTTATAATAGTGGTCTCATACAATATTTGTGCCTTTGCGACTGACTAATTTCACTCAGCACAATGCCTTCCAGATTCATCCGTGTTGTGAGATGTTTCATAGATTCATCGTTGTTCTTTATTCTGTAGTATTCCATTGTGTGAATATACCATAATTTGTTTATCCATTCATCTGTTGATGGACACCCAGGTTGTTTCCATCTTTTTGCTATCATAAACAGTGCTGCAGTGAACATCAGTGTGCATATATCTATTCGTGTGATGGCTCTTATTTCTAGGATATATTTCAAGGAACAGGATTGCTGGATCATATGGTACTTCTATTTCTAGCTTTTTAAGGAAGTGCCAAATCGATTTCCAAAGTGGTTGTACCATTTTACATTCCCACTCTGTTCCATTTTAAATGACAGTCTGCCACAAATATCATACAAAATCCTAACAATAGTCTTCAAAGTAGGGTTGCTAAAGCAAAAATTGTATGTGATCCCCAAACTGGCAATACAAGGTCTTCAATAAAATAGTTGTGGCAAGTCCTGATCTACATCAGGACTTGAGAAAGTGTTGCCATACTACTCACTGGAAAAGAACCTGGACCACATCATGATGAAATAGGTTCGATATGCTTCCACTCTTTTTTCACTTATAAAATTTATGAAGTCCTCCTTATCCTTAGGCCCCAATAATGCATAATTTCACCATCTTTACAAGGGTAGATAGTAGGAAGAACAGTTATGATAAATTGGCCGCTCAGTCCTGGCTGCTCTGTACCATCTACTTTTGCAACATTAATCTCAAAATCTCCCCATTCAGCAAAACTTGCCCATTCTGGTTGAAGATTCTGACAAGCAGGAGACCATGGAGCATAAAATTTTGTCATCTACTCTCCTTCCAGCAGCTCTCTCCAGTTCTTGTCCATGATGATGCTCTCACTCCACTGTCCATGGGTCCAGGGAGCCCCACAAAGCAATAGCACCAGGACTGCCAGGAGAACTATGACTCCCGGAGGGTGCCATGTTGGCTACTCGCCTACACCACAGCAAGCACTGTAGTCCCTATCCCTCCATGTGATATTCTTTTTAGCTTGTATACTAAAACAACTATTTTAGTATCCCTTATTTTGTCCATGTAATTCTAAATATTCTTGAAGTTTTACTTCTTAGATATCTTTTTTTCCCTCAGAGACCTGGTTACCTCTCATGACTCTCTGTGTGGATGATTATCACCTCTTTATTTTTAGACTCTAGTATTTTTCTTGAGTTAGGCACTTAGGGTATTTTGCAAGTAGTTTCCTTGTGAACATTCCCATCACTCCAGATTCAACTTGTCTGTATCAAAATAACTCACTTTTTTTCCTAAAACCAGACTGACTTGTAGATGTCCCAAGTTCTTATAGTAGTGTTAGCATCTTTCTAGTTTCCTAGTCATCTTTGATTCTTTATTCATTATTGATTAAAAAGTGGGAGATAAACTAATCTTGATTTCTTTTTTCTTCCTGGTTCCTCGCATTTCAGTTAATAATGAAGATCCATTGATCTTTTAAATAAATACTGCTCGTCTTTTTTACTCTACATCTTCTACTCTAGCAGCTCTGTATTTTGAAGCTTTGAAATAATGAAATTTTATTAAAGTCAAGATTGGAATAGAAGTTTTTTCTTTGTACATTTGGAAACATCTGGGGGAGGAAATGCTATTATGCACACATACACACATTCATATATATACAAAACATGACATATATGTATATATATATATATACACACACATATGCATACATATACACATACACACATACAGTCATTAAAGGAGTGGGGTAATTGAAAACTAAAAAGTTTGTGTTATGTCTAGGATAAGGTTGGTGATCCTTAGCACTATTGACCCTTTGGAGTAGATAATTTTTTGTTGTGTGAGTGCTGTCCTTGTTTGCTATAGGATGTTTAGCAACATCCCTGGCCTCTATCTGCTAGATACCAGTGGCACCTCCCCTCCCAGTGTGACAGCGAAAAATATCTCTAGGCATTGCCAAATGCCCTTTATTGGAGAGGAGCAAATTCTTCCCCTATTTGAGAACCACTAGTCTAGAGAAACCTGTATGGGCAGTAGAAATAGAATATTTATTCATTTCCGTACTTTGCCCCCTTGCTAAGATTAGTTCAGCACTACAGAATTAAAGGAAACCCTGGTGGTGTAGTGGTTAAGAGTTTGGCTGCTAACCAAAAGGTCAGCAGTTTGAATCCACCAGGCGCTCCTTGGAAACTCTATGGGGCAGTTCTACTCTGTCCTATAATGTCGCTATGAGTGGGAATCGACTCAGTGGTAATGGGTTTGGTTTGTTTTGGTTTACACAATTTAAAAAAAATTGTAATAAAAAAGGATAGAAAAATTCATTCTTACGTGCATTTTTAAAACTCCTTCATGAGCGTGTGTAACTGGAATAATCCTTTTAGGAAAATAAAGAAACGTAAAAATGGTATTTTTTTCATGAGCGTGTACTATGAATTTGGTGAAAAGTGGTGCACATTTAGGTTTCTAATTTGTTTTCTAGCAGGGATCTGTTAGAATCTGATAAAACTTTAGGAACTTCTTCTTGTAGCACTTAACTAACTTCACTATCAGTTTGTATTCCCCACTACCTTTGTTTGGAAGGCACCCTAGTGGCACAGTGGTTAAGTGCTCTGCTGCTAACTGAAAGATTGGTGGTTTGAACCCACCAACCACTCCAATAGGGAAAAAGACCTGGTGATCTGCTCCCGTAAACCCTATGGGACAATTCTACCCTATCCTATAGGGTCACTGTGAGTCAGAATCTACTTTATGACACACAAGAACACCACCACCTTTGAAGAAGTTTGAAGACTGATAATTGTTTTGGTTAACTGATCACGGATATAATTATATGATGCTATTATTTTTATTCTAAACATTTCTAGAAAATGTTGCTGTTCTGTCTTTCCTCCTTACCCCTTTACTCTCTACTACACACCCCTTTCCCTACCAAAAAAAAAGTCCTTGAGCTTGGCAGGAATAATACCACAGTTCAAATCTTTCAATAATCATAATGTTGTAAGGAGCAAATTTCTGAGTAGTAGAATACTTTTGGTTTACTATCTGTACTATTCTATATAGCCAGCCTTCCAGAAACTCTGAATAATTCATGAAGCCTTCTTGGAGTTGACCAAACAATATCTGACTTTTAGATGAATTCAGGAGGGTTGAATATATAATGTTAACTGGTATAGCTGCTCAGTATTCATTTTTATAAAAATGAAGCTTGTTTTTTAGCAGTTGAAGTCTGAAATTAATGTAATCTTATTTTGCTTTCTTCATTTTCTTCCCTTTTTCATAGGTAGGTCGCTCTGATCTGGACATTAATCAGTCTTTTTCATCTACATTGCCTCCATTTGTTCCTCATGAGCCAACCAGAGAGCCAGAATATCACTCTTCAGATCTCAGGATGTTGAGAGTATCTCCTGAGACTGTGGCAAAGACTCTCAGACATTTAGCAGGTATGTAGCAAAAGGAGGTAATAAATGTCCTCCTTATGGCTGGATTGTTAAAAATATCTTGCTGTGGCTAACTAATTTTTTTAATTTTTAGACTCCGGAAATAGTGTTAATACTTTGGATTAGACTTGTTTATAAATCCCCAGATTTTTCTATTAGATAAACCAATTTAATTTTTTATTACATTCTCCATGATAGTGTTTAGAACTAAGCTACATAGAGGAGTCTAATATTAGAGTCAGTTTGTTTTCTATATTCCTTGCTATGACTTAAATGGAAAAAAGGAACTAATTTAGCACCTGGAGAAAAGGGCAAGAGTGGATGCAAATAAGTTTGTGGCTAGGACATTGAGAGAGATCAGTCTTGAGGTAGAAAGTAACATTATCTCTTGAGGGAGATGAGGAGTGGTGGAGGTAAAGTAGAGGGTTTGAAGCTTGGTGAAGGCTTAGAATTTATGTTGAAGTGAGTAAGGAAGGAGAGGGAGCTGATCGAGGATGAGTTAAAAGGATTAGCAGGTAGTTTGAGAAGTTAGCTGGTGTCAGCCTGTATAAATCTGCAATTTTTTCTTTATTAAAACTGAGGAATGGAAAAGGTAAATTGAGTATTGCTCTTTGGTTGAGGGATTTGTTGAATGGTTGTGATGGAAGGATGGCAGTGGAAAGGAATTTAATAAGAGAAGAGTTAAGTTGATTATCCTGCATAGGGAAAGAAGAAAAGCCAGATTTGTTAGTCTGGGAGAAAATAGAAGGACCAGAGATTTATTTATGAAGTTGAATAGATAAGGTGGGAATGAGTTACTGAGAGAGCTAGAAGAATGGGTAATTTTGGTCAGATTGAGCTAGTAGATTTGATTTCTAATGGGGATCAGTTTTAAGGTTGTTAGGATCCGTGGAATAGCTCTGCATTCCGTGGCAGATGTTCAATAAAGATCACTGGAGTAAGTAGGTTGAGATTTTGAGGCTACCTTACTGGATTGGTTAACTATGTTTAAATCTTTTCTGATGAATGCAGGTGCAGGACTTGGGGTTTAGGGAAAGCCTGTGAACTAGACCTTGAAGTCTTCAAAAAATGAATGGGAGTAACTAGGAGCTGCAAACAGAAGGTGGTGTAGAAGCTGTGAGTGAGCTGAGCCTCAAAAAAGAAGTTTTGTTTGTTTGTCTCAGGAAGATGGAAAGTAATGGTAAGGAAATTGTGAGAAGTAGGAAAATGCCAGCTTTCACTGCAGAGTCTGTGGTATGTGGAAGAAGGCTGCAGAGGCAGTAGTAGTATCAGAGGGAAAAATCAAGTTTCATTTAAGGCAAAAAGTTAAAGAATGAGAGTATACTATGAAAAATTTGAGAAAGGTTGTTTACTGAATAGCAGAATGGTTCCAGAAAGCACGGAGGAAAGATTGGGAGTGGGGGAAAAATAATGAGAAGAACCAAAGTGAGAAACCCAAGCAGTAAGAGAATGAAGGGGCAGGAGACCGGGAATATTTGCTTTTTGTCTAGACCAGGGATTTCAGTGATGAGCATGGTTGCAATGACTGGCCTCAAATACCCTAATTTTATCAATAGTTTTGGTGCCAGAACTGAGGGTCCCAGCTTATATCTGGTCTGGGCTCAGGGATGAGATGAAGACTGCCATAGGATTTGAGAAGGGTGTCATGTCTAAAAGTGTCTTTCTGTGGCTCTCTTTTATGACTTAAAGCATGGCTTGATAAAGAATTCTCAGGTTGCTGTCTACTTACTGCTACCCAAGTTGAAAGATACTGTTCTTTTATGCTCTGATATTTAGAGTTGCACATATCAATAGGTTTTTGTTTTTCCCCTTGGTTAAGTAACCTTTATATTTTAATTTTGTTTCATTTTGGCAGTCTTTGTGTACATGCAAAGTATAGGTACCTGGGATATACCAATAGATTCCCCATGGTTCTTGCCTTAGGAGGAATTGATGTTCAAATCATGTATTTCATATAAATGAAATTGTACAATATGTGGTTTTTCCTGACTGGCTTCTTTCACTTGATATAATGTATTCAGGCTTCATCCATATTATAACATTTACCAGTGCTCATTTCTTTTTATTGCCAAATAATATTCCATTGTGGGGATACATCACATTTTGTTTCTTCACCCATCAGTGTTGATGGACATTTGGGTTGTTTCCACTTTTTGGCTGTTACGAATAATGCTGTTACGAACATTCGTGTACAAGTTTTTGTGTAGCCTTATGTTTTTGTTTCTCTGGGGTGTACGCCTAGGAGTGGAATTGCTGGATCATATGGTAAGTCTGTGTAACATTTTGAGGAATTGCTAAACTGCTTTCCAAAGTGTGTGCACCATTTTATATTCCCACCAGCAGTGTATGAAGGTTCCAATTTATCCACATCCTCACCAAAACTTATCTTCTGTCTTTCTGAGTATAAACATTCTCATGGGTGCAAAGTAGTATCTTATTGTGGTTTTGATTTACATTTCTGTAATGGATAATGATGTTGAGCATCTTTTTATGTGCTTATCGGCCATTTGTATACCTTCTTTGGGGAAATGTCTGTTCGTGTCTCTTGCCCATTTTTTAAAAAATAGACTTTATTTTTTAGAGCAGTTTTAGGCTTACAGAAAAATTGCACTGAAACTACAGAGATTTCCCATATGTCTCCTTCTCCCCTGCACACAGTTTCTCCTATTATTAACATTGCATCCCCCAGCTCTCTAGCCAGCATCTGGTTGGGTGTGGAGGATGCTGGGCATGTGGCAAGGAGAACGTTTCCTGGGCCAGTTCTCTGGGCCACCACGTGCTGGTGGGTTTCCTGTTCAATTGGTACCAGTGCTGCTGAGGAGAAAAGGCCCTACCTGGACAGCCTTCTTTCTCTAGGTTGGGTCTGGAGACACTAGACCTGGCTTACCTTTTGTTGCTGGGTAGAGGGCTGGGGGATGCTAGGTCTGCTGATGCCTGGGGCGGGGGAAGGGGGATCATCGGATGCCCTGCCTGGTCTCTTTTGAGGCCACCGCATTGCATGGAACAAGCTCACCTGTTACTGGCAGGGGAGGGGGTGTGCACAGAGATGGGACTACCTGCTAAGTCTCTGATGGACTGCCTCTTTCCTAGTCCTTGGGTCAGGGAGAGCAGGCTTTTCTCCCCCCCGCCTTTTTTTTTTGGGCCTGCGCCTAGTGGGGGTTCCATGTTTCAAGTCTCTCCAGGGGTGAGTCTGAGATATATGAGAGTTAAAAAGAAAACCTAGGAAGGTCACTGCCGTATTGTTCCTCAGGCCCTGAGGTTATCCCTAGCCAGTCCACCTTCCTCTTTCCACCTTTCAGAGTCTTTTCATGATCGCTTGTTGAATTATTTCCAGGAATTTTAGTTGTATTTGTAGGGGAGTCTGTTAATCACCTCCTATTCACCTTGTTGGTAAGAGAGGGCTTTTTGCCTTAGGATTATGGGGATGGCTGAACACACAACACCAGACACTGGACCGATGAGATCGACAGCAGTTTATTCATCACGTATACTCAAGCTTGGTGGAGGAGCACACCGCGTGCCACGCAGAGCCACACGGGACTTGCACTTGGAAACAGAATGAACAACCAGGGACTCTGGGAGGCAGGCTTTGTAGTGTCAAGGGGGTGTTCCCTTGGTTCCTGTGGGAGGAGGATGTGATTGATTTGTTTGAGTAATTCCATGGGTCTCCAAGTGGAAGCTGAAACTCACTTGAGTAGCAGGAACTGTACCTGGTCCCTTTGATAAAGAGGGTAGTTTCGCTAGGGGACCTTATCCGAGGGAACAGAGTAGGGAGGGGAACTTATGGTTAGGCCATTCAAGGCCCTCCTGATTTTATCAGATGTCAAGGCAGCACATAATATTGAGCCTAAATTTTTAGCCTTACACCACAGGGTAGAACGGGAAAATGAGTCTGTGCTATCTTGTCTGGGGTTGGAAGACATCTGGAGTTTTGAATATGTAAAAACTTAGATTGCCTTTGTGCTATTGGTAGAAATGATCAGGTGAGTGGCTCAGGGTGGTGAGAAGTGAGGTAAAGATTGTTCTCAGGCAATACTGAATAAGCTTAGGGATCTCAAGCCCTGGAAGGTGGGGATACCTATGCCATAGAACCTTCCTAACCTTTCTAAAATCTGCAGCCTCATCACAGACTAATAATGGCTAATATTTATGCTTGCTTACTTTGCTAAGCATTTTATGTAGATGATATTATTTAATAATTATACTTGCCTTATGAGGATAACCAAAAACATCCATTGCCGTTGAGTCGATTCCGACTTATAGTGACCCTATAGGACAGAGTAGAACTGCCCTGTAGAGTTTCCAAGGAGTGCCTGGTGGATTTGAACTGCCGACCTTTTGGTTAGCAGCTGTAGCTGTTAACCAGTGTGCCACCAGGGTTTCCTTTTGAGGATAGGTACTATTATTTTCCATTTGATAATTGAGCAAAATGAAACTTAGAAGAAGTAACTTGCCCAAGGCAACATAGCTGGTGAAATGGTGGAGCACCAGTTGTGAAGCCATGCAGCCTTCCTCAGAGCCTGCATTCTTAGTGACTATATTGTACTACTTTAGATATTCCTTAAACACAACTCTTACATTCTCTTTGAACCTTGATGATAATGTTCTTTCTTCTTAACAAATCAAAATTCTTCTGGCCGATTATTAAGACCTCACCTTTTAAATTCTATTTATCCAACCTTATTTCCTTCTGTACATTTCAGTCATTCCAGGCAAGCCATTTTGTTTTGTTTTGTTTATTTCTCTGCCTTCATGGTCATGTTCATTCATTCCTCTAATATTTTACTTGTTCCTTCCCTTTTCTGCAATGTCATTTCCTTTCTTCACAGTACCTACTCTTTTATTTAAGGCCTTGCCCAACTGCCATTTTCTCTTAGAGATTTTTGATTACTTCACTCCATAATATTCTTTCCCTTTTTTGAACTCTACAATAGCACATCAGCAATTTCTCCAGATTCTTCCTCAGAGAGGGTACCATATCTTATTTCTCTCTAATGCGTAAC